TGGAAGAGCCACACTCAAGGGGCCAAAGAGCCGCATGTGGTTCGCGAGCCGCAGTTTGCCGACCACTGGGTTAGGGGCATCAAGCAGGCTGGTGAGCAGTTAGGGACATCAGGCAGGCTTGCAGAGTGGTTAGGGGCGATCAGGCAGTCAGGCAGAGGGGTTAGGGGCGATCAGGCAGGCAGGCAGAGTGGTTAGGGGCAACCAGGCAGGCAGGCTGGTGAGCAGTTAGGAGCTAGCGGTCCCAGATTATGAGAGGGATGTCCAACTGCTGGTTAGGCTCAATTGGCTTGGGCCTAAACTAGCAGTTGGACATCCTCCTGAGGGGGTCCCAGATTGCGAGAGGGTGCAGGCTGAGCTGTGGGACCCCCTCCTCCCCTGTGCATGAATTTCATGCACCGGGCCTCTAGTATTGAATAAAATACTAGCGGACAACCCTGTTTTGTTCTTGTTCTTAGGGGAAATGGTTTTAGTTTCTGCCTATTAAGTATGATTTGCCTGTAGGTTTGTCATAGATGGCCTTTATTATGTTGAGGTATGGTCCCTCTCCACTTTGCTTAGGGTTTTTATCAAAAATGAGTGTTGGCCCAGCCAGTGTGGCTCAGTAGTTGAGTGTCAACTTATGAACCAGGAGGTCATGGTTCAATTCTCAGTCAGGGCACATGCCTGGGTTGTGGGCTGGAATCCCAGTGTGCGGTATGTAGGAGGCAGCCAGTCCATGATACTTTCTCATCATTGATGTTTCTATCTCTCTCTCCCTCTGCCTTCCTCTCTGAAATCAATAAAAATATATTTTTTAAAATGGGTTGTTGGATTTTGTCGAATGCTTTTTCTGTATCTATTGATATGATCATGTGATTTTTCAATTTGTTTATGTGATATATCACATTTATTGATTTGCAAATATTGTACCGGTCTTGCATCCCTGGAATAAATCCCACTTGGTCATGGTGTATGATCTTTTTAATATATTGCTGATCTGATTTGCTAGTATTTTGTTGAGGATTTTAGCATTTATGTTTATCAGGGTTATTGGCCTATAATTCTCTTTCTTTGTTGTGGCCTTATCTGGTTTTGGGATTAGGATAATACTGGCCTCAAAAAAAGAGCCTTGAAGTCTTCCTTCTTCTTGAATTTTTTGGAATAATTTAAGGAGGAGAGGTGTTAGTTCTTCTTTGAATGTTTGGTAAAACTCTCCTGTGAAGCCATCCAGACCCGGGCTTTGCTTGCTGAGTTTTTTTGTTTTTTGTTTTTTACTGCTTCCGTTTCATCAGTTGTTACCAGGCCTATTCAGGTTTTTGTCTTCTTCCTGATTCAGTTTTGGAAGATTGTATGTTTCTAGGAATTTGTTTCTTTCACCCAGGTTGTCTGGTTTGTTGGCATATAGTTGTTTGCAGTATTTTCTTATAATCCCATTTCTGTGGTGTCCGTTGTTACTTTACCCCTTTCATTTCTGATTTTATTTATTCGGGTTCTCTCTCTGTGTTTCTTGATGAGTCCAGCTAAAGGTTCATCTATCTTGTTTATCTTTTAAAAGAACCAACTCTCGGTTTCATTGAACTTTTTGTATTACTTTGTATTTTTTATATTGTTCCCTGGTGGAGTTAGGTCCAGCACAGCATTAGACTAATTCCAGTCCATCAGTCCATCCTGTGTGGAGCCCACATGTCTGCAGGCCGTGTGGGCAAGTGCAGAGGGTGAGGGCACGCCCCCTGCAACAAGAGTCCCACGAGAGCAAGAGCTTCCTTTGTTCAGGAGCATATGTGTCTCAGGTTTTGTGCCCTTGCAGTAGCCACATCTCTTCTGGCCAGTGACCTGCTCCCCGGTGTGACTGATAGGCAATCACCCTCCCTAGACCACCCAGACTTTACTGGGCATGCGTGTATTCTTTCTTTGTCTAGTCCAGCGGTTCTCAAACTGTGGGTCGCTACCGCTTTGGGGGTCAAACGACCCTTTCACAGGGGTCACCTAAGACCATACTGCATATCAGATATTTACATTACGATTCATAACAGTAGCAACATTACAGTTATGAAGTAGCGACGAAAATAATTTCATGGTTGGGTCACAACACAAGGAAATGTATTTAAAGGACCAGAAGGTTGAGCACCACTTGTAGTCCCTTCCCCCTGGATCTGCGGGGAACAGACTTGGAGCTGTTCATTTATTTTCTTTATTAACAGAAAATAACTTATTTTCTTTATTATCTTAGAGAAAGGGAGAGAGAGAAGGAAACATCCAAACATCCATGTGAGAGAGAAACATCGATTGGTTGCCTCCCACATGTGCCCCCTACTGGGTATGGAACCTGCACCCTGGATATGTGCTCTGACCTGGAATGGAACCCGCCACCTTCAGGTGTTCAGAACAATGCTCCAACCAACTGAGCCATCAGCCAGGGCTGGTTATTATTTATTGTTGATATATTTAGATTGAGTATTATATACTTAGATTGAATATAAATTAGATTGATAAAATTTAAAAAAGGAGTTTCTAAACGGTGTTGCCCTCATAAACTTTTTCATTGGTTTGTGTTTATCACTACAGATGAGTGAATATGAAAATATCTGTGAATCTAAGAAACAGGATGCTTATCATAGGAAGAAACAATTGGATAGATTAAGGATTAAAGAGATGGACATAAAAGAAAAAGTTACTACCAGCACAGTGGTAAGAAAGGATAAACTATGCTTTTCAAGCCTGACCCGGGCACCTCAATATACACTACCTTTAATAGGACTGGTAACAGGTGTTTTAAAAAGGAATTGATTTTAATTTACGTTCTGGAAGAATATTTTTGCCATGTTAACATTTCCTGATACTTTAGTGTGTTGTGTTGCAGTTGTGTTTTTTTCTTCAGGAATATGGTGGGAAGAAAGAAGTTTGGCACACCTTAGGTACAGATTGCATTTGGATGGACCAAAATACTGTAAAACTGATTTTTTAAAAATGCATACAATACCATATATAACATTTTTATGATATTGCTTTATTTTACGTAACAAAAGAAATAACCAGGGGCAGATTCCTTAATTCTGGGTATGTGATGATAAAACAGAATTTAGTCTCTCCATTTATATTGGGTACAGGAACATAATAGGGAAAGGGGACTATCTGTTTATTCAAGTTAGCAAATACTTGAGAACTCTGCAGTTCTATTTTTAAAAATATTAATAACATTGAATGAAAGCCAGTACTATGTTAAGTATTTTGTGGGGATCATCATTGTTTTAAAAATTAGAAAACTGGACCTTATGGAGGTGACTATAATTGAAAACGTTAATGATAATACCACTTCTATGTTAATTAAAACAGAAATGAACGGTAATCTATCACAGTTAGTTGAATCGAGTCTTCATTTCTTCTATCTGCATTGAAAAATACATGTAAAACTGTATATGGGCAACAGTAATACTGAAACATCACACTTCTTACCAGAATGCTCAGCCAATTCCATTTTATTTTTTATATGGTGGTCCTGATCATTTTAATTTTATTATATCGGTTATGACATCCAATTACAAAACATTGGTCAAGTCAAAATTCCCCCCTCCCCAATATATTTAAGAATATCATTACCTGTTTTTTAAATATCAACATAGTAAGGAAGCGTGAGTCAGGCTAGACTCAAAGGAGAAAGTAGGGATTGCATAAACCACATTTGATCTGCATGCCCCCCAAGTACACACCTCTCGTTTGGACCTCATAGATCAAAGCCAAGTGCCCTCTGAGTTCTAACTTGGGAAAATGAAGCACATGCTCCTTAACCTGTACTCCAAAGACCTCTAAGGCCAAATGAGACAAGGCTTGAAAGTGTCATTTTCCCTCTCGCCCCGTCATAGCCTGCCCGCCCCGCCCTACCTTACTGGTGGAGAATAGTGTTTAAAGCACAAACTTGAGTGTCAAAGAGACCTCGGTTCAAACCTTGACTCTACCAGCCCAGAGTTTTTTCACCTATAAAATAGGGTAAGTCCTAGCTGGTTTGGCTCAGTGGATAGAGCCTGTGGACTGAAGAGTCCCGGGTTTGATTCCGGCCAAGGGCACATGCTTGGGCTGCGGGCTCGATTCCCAATAGGGAGCGTGCAGGAGGCAGTCGATCAATGATTCTCATCATGGATGTTTCTGTCTGTCTCTCCCTCTCCCTTCCTCTTTGAAATCTATAGAAATGAAAAACGTAAAGTGGGGTAATACCATTGCCTTCTTCGAAGGGCTTCTGTGGAGATCAGACATTGGTGAAGTTTGTTGTTATTGCTCAAGATTAGAAAACAACATTTTGGCTGTGGACTGAGACAGTAGGAGATAACAGATTAATCTTCCTGTGGCACCTTTAGTTTAGAAAACTCTGCACCCAGGTCAAGCTGATGCCATGTTGGCAGAAAAGAATAATGGTGCGTGGTCCTCAAGATGGCCTACATATCCCGGGCAGGGAGAACTGGGGACAGGAGGTGACCAGTGTCATTCCTGTTGGCCTTGGCATTTAGTCACTAATCCTGATGGCCAGCCGGAGTCCTTTAGACGTTCTGCTGATTGTTGGTGGCAGTTCTAGGATTTCAGACCCTGTTACTCTGGAATTAGTTATAGCCCAGAAGTTCAGTCACAAGGATGCTTGCAGCGGTTCTCAACCTTTGGGTCGCCAACCTGTGGGTCGCAACCCCTTTGGGGGTCGAACGACCCTTTCACAGGGGTCGCCTAAGACCATCGGAAAACACATATATAATTACATATTGTTTTTGTGATTGATCACTCTGCTTTAATTATGTTCAATTTGTAACAATAAAAACACATCCTGCATATCAGATATTTACATTATGATTCATAACAGTAGCAAAATTACAGTTATGAAGTAGCAACGAAAATAATTTTATGGTTGGGGGTCACCACAACATGAGGAACTGTATTAAAGGGTCGTGGCATTAGGAAGATTGAGAACCACTTCTTTAGAGAAAGAAAGAGTTCTGGGGAGCTGTCACCTGTCTCACGTGGCATGATGGAGAGCACCTTTATGCTGCCCAGGTGTGTCCATGACCCCACGTTGGCGTGCAAGCTTAGATGGCATTCGATAATCTGTCCTGGCACCTGTGCTGCAGAGCGGAGGGATCTGACCAGCTCCGTTCTCCCTCACAAGCCGAAACACAGGCCCAGGGCTCTGATACATTTGCCTTCCCTTTTCTTTATTCCCAAACTGCATTGTCAACATAGCTGTCTCACTGTGAATTTTCTTCATCCATATTTCCTTTTTAAAATTAGGCTAACATTTTTTCACAGTCTTCACCGGTTTTATTTTCAAACTTCTGATTAAATATTAAGAGAGAAATTTTTCTTCAGCATGAACATAGCTATCAGTTGAGGTGAAAGACCCAATTTCTTTAGACCTGTTTATAATATCATTCTTCTCTCCTGGAATAACATTTTGGAGATGATTATGAAAATATAGATTTGTTTATTTTTTTAAATGATAGTCAAGGTGAATTCATGTCTTGAAAGTTGTTTTTATAGTTGTCACATCCTCACTACTATATTTGGTTGCTCCCCCCCCCCCAATATTATTTTTTATTTCTGACCTAGTTTATATTTTGAAGAAACAATTGTAATGATTGCTTTTATTTTAACTAAAGGACACCCCCAGTGCAGAAGTTGAGTGGGTGACACATGAATATTTAGTGAATTGAACCACCATCCTGAATCATTTGACAATGACTGAATGCCATAATTTTTTAAAATTTTCAATAGGAACTTAGTGATCACAATTTAGAGATAGCAGAACTAAATCAATCAATAAGACATTGGAAAGAACAGATCGAAGAAATAAAGAAAATCTGTAATAGCCTGGAGGAAGAAATGTAAGTATGATACTTTATTTTTACTGAAGCATTTCTCAGTGTTATGTTTCTTTCCTTTAAAAAATTTCATTAGATGAAAATTATAATCTTTTAGTTTACTAAAATTTGTGTGCTTGCAAGCTGTATAGAAACACCTCTTCATTTTGAAATTAATCAGTCTTTCCCGTGATCAAGAGAAAATATTGGGTATGATGCAGTCAGCTCAGAAAAAGGAAGGGACTCGGTGGAATGTATTATTCTCACTTCCATTCCGGGATTCCTGCAAATGAATATGCCCCCAGGAAGGCATTCATGAGGCCTGCCGCAAGGCTACCCACTCCCCGACCCATATGGTTACAGTGGCTGTTCTTAGTCGAGGGAGATTTGCAGAGTTTATTGAGAAATTACAGGGACGCCTCTGGGTAAAAAGTTTTACCCACGGGACTGGAACCAGAAACTTAAGGGGATCTTTCATCCCAAGGCCCACACTCTCTCTTCCTTTTGCAAAAGGGTTTCATCTTTCTCTCTATCTGCATACTATGTTCTCTTCCTGGTGAGCCATGGCTAAGCATGACCATTCCAAACCCTCTGAAATTACCTGGCACAGGCCCGTTCATCGTTAGAGATTGGCCAACAGACTCTCTTCCAGGAGAATTCGCAGATTTCCCATCAAAAGCCGTTTGGCTCAGCCCTGGCCAGTGTTGCTAAGTGGTTAGCGTCGTGGTCGGCAAACTGCGGCTCTCGAGCTACATGCGGCTCTTTGGCGCCTTGAGTGTGGCTCTTCCACAAAATACCACGTGTGGGCGCGCACGTACAGTGCGATTGAAACTTCCTGGCCCATGCGCAGAAGTCGGTTTTCGGCCTGGGCGAGTCTATTTTGAAGAAGTACTGTTGGTATTTGGCTCTGTTGACTAATGAGTTTGCCGACCACTGGGTTAGAGCATTGGCCTGAGCACTGAAGGGTTGAGGGTTCGATTCCCTGTCAAGGGCACGTACCTGGGTTGCAGATTTGGTCCCCAGTCCAGGTTGGGGCATGTGCAGGGGGCAACCATCTATGTGTCTCTCACATTTCTCTCTCTCTCTCTTTCTCTCTCTCTCTCTCTCTCTCTCTCTCTCTCTCTGTCTCTCTCTCTCTCTCTCTCTCTCTCTCTCCCTCTCACTCCTTCCCTTTCACTCTCTCTAAAAATCAATAGAAAAAATACCCTCAGGTGAGGATTAACAGCAACAAAAACTGTTTGGCTCAGCTTTGGACCAGAAGGTGAGGTCTTGTAATACAAATATATGGCTTCTCGGCCTACCTCCAGAGTTCGATTTAAAAGACAAATTGTGAATTGAGCAGATTCCATAAGACAAGTTAACTTCACTTGTAGAATCATGTTATAAAATGGCTCATTTCTACATACACAGGTTTGAATGTATTGTGATTAAAATTAAGTCTTTTAAAACAGCAATTGCCCAGTATAGTAATCATCACACTGGTCCATAAAGTAGGCACTATTCTTTGTACTCAGTACCAGATTTAACATAGGAAGACTCAAGAATGACTACAATTCAAACTCAGAATAAAAAATCTTTTTCTTTGAAAGTTTAATAGTTTTAGTTCATATATGTTTTAAAGAAAAAGTAGGCAGAGAATCATAGTGGAAGATACAGATTAGTTCTTAAATTATTTCTAGGAGTTATGATTAAAAATCTTGCTACACTCAGGATACAATATTAACACCCAGAAATCAATGGCATTTTTATATACCAATAATGAATTCTCAAAGAGAGAAAATAAAAACAACAATCCCATTTGCCATTGCTTCTTAAATTATTGAATAGAATAATAAAGCATTAATTCGTCAATTCTAAAAAGTAAAATCTTTTGTCTGTTATAATGAATATATAAATATGTTATATAGGGCAATATGGCTCTGCTGAAAAAAATATGTCTTAATATGAATTTCTTTGGCTTCCTTTGTTCATAGATTTTTTTTAAAGAACAACAAGAAAAAACTGGGAGAGAAAACTATTACTGACAAAAATGAATTTTTTCAGAAGATAAAGGAGGTAGGAAGACAGAAATTATTATTTTTTAGATTATAATTAGATTTTCTTTTTAGTTAGTATTTTAAGTAAATGGAGAAATTTTCCAAAACTAGTTTTTTCATTAACTAATAATCATGATCAGTCACAGTAATTGATTTAAAGATTTTATTCCCTCCCAGAGCACTTTAAGTATAAAAGAAAAATTTCTAATGTGAAGATGAATTATTTTCTTGATAACTTTTCAAGTGGATATGGATATTTTACATTAGGAATATCCAGGACTAATGGACATTTTTGTGTGAGTTAATTAGAAAAATTAGGAGCTTCTTGCTGTTGTGTAGCAACTCATATTGTACTTAATAATTTTAGTGGAATATTTGAGTCAAATTTAGACGCCAGGAGAATTCCCTAGACATTATAAAACTTAGGTTATAAGAAATATGATATTTTAAGTAAGTAATCATGGCTATAAACCAAGATTTCTCCACAAGATAGTCAATGAAGCATTTATTATGAAAGTTGAACAATTAGAGACAAAGTACCATTAAAGCTTAACAGAAATGCTTTAAATGTCATCGTTTAGGATATGATAAATCTATATATATAAAAGCCTAAGTGACCAGCTGACCCTGTGACGCGCAATGACCACCAGGGGGCAGACGCTCAACACACAGGCATGGAAACATGGAACAGACTGATGAATCTCAGAGGGAAAAGGGAAGGGGAGAGGGCAGGAAGAGATTAACCAAAGATCTTATATGCATACTAGAGGCCCGGATTCATGCACCGATGGGGTCCCTTGGCCTGGCCTGAGGGGATCGGGCCGAAACCAGCTCTCCAACATCCCCTGAGGGGTCTCGGATTGTGAGAGGGCACAGGCCAGGCTGAGAGACCCCACCAGTGCACAAATCCATGCACCGGGCCTCTAGTCTATAATAATAAAAGGCTAATATACAAATAGACCAAACGACGGAACAACCAAACAACCAGTTGCTATGATGTATGCTGAACACCAGGGGGCATGTGCGGAACATGGTGGATGTTGGCCGTGGCAGGATGGTGGAGCAGGTGAGCAGGGGCTCCAGACCAAGGTGGAGTGCCGGTCTTTGTCATAGGGGCAAGCCTCTGATGATTATTGAAAATCCTTTCCTCCTGTGCGCCACGGTCCCGCCAGGTGCTCGCACCTGCTGCCAGTGCCAGCCCTGCTTGTACCTGCTGCCAGTGCCCAGTGCTGGTCCCAATCACTTGGTGCCATCAGCGGGTGCGAGCAGTGGATACAAGCCCTGATTGCCCCTGAGGGCTTCTCTACCTCCCCCTGCTCCCGAGGGGCTATTGGAGCAGCAGCCCCCACTTGCACTCGCTGACCGCGCTGACTCTGCTCACATCTTCTGCTGGCACTGGCCCAATCGCTCTACACCATCAGCGGGTGCAAGTGGGGCTAGCGCTGTCAGCACATGGGAGCGGTGGTGGGAGTAGGGCTGCTGGCAGACAGGGGACTGGGGACGTGGTGAAAGGGGCCAGGCAGGGGCACAGAGGATGGGTTGAGACCCGCCCCTGTACCTATCACAGTTTTGTGGCCCACAGTTTTTTCAAGGTGCACCAATTTGTGCACTTGGCCCCTAGTAAAAGCATAATATGCTAATTAAACCGGATATCCTTTCAGACAAAGCCAGGGCTGTGAGTTAAGCCTGGGTCCCGGGTGCCTGCCAGCAGCTGGAGGGAAGCCCGGGTCCCCGGTACCAGAGGCAAGACCAGGTTCCGGGTGCCAGAGGGAAGCCTGGGTCCTGGGTGCCAGAGGAAGCCAGTGTCTGCAGCTGGGGGAAGGAAGGCCTACTCTTGCATGAATTGCATTGGGCCTCTAGTAAAATATAAAACAGTATATATACTATGACCCAATTTTATATGTATAAATATATATATATATACCAGGCCTCTAGTATAAATATAAAAATTTGTGCACTCGGGGGGGAGGAGGGGTCCCTCAGCCCGGCCTGTGCCCTCTCGCAGTCTGGAACCCCTCGGGAGATAACGACCTGCTGGCTTAGGCCTGCTCCTGGGTGGCAGAGGGCAGGCCCAATCCCTAGGTGCAGCCCCTGGTCGGGCTCAGAGCAGGGCCGATTGGGGAGTTGGGGCACCACCCCCTGTCATGCACAGAGCAGGGCAGATCGGGAGGTTGCGATGCCACCCCCTGTCACGCACAGAGCAGGGTTGATCAGGGGGTGAGCGGCTGAGGGCTGTTTTCAGGCTGGCGGGTGACTGAAGCTCCTGGGTGAGGGGATGATGGCTGTTTGCAGCTGGTCACACACCCTTCAGGGTGGGGGTCCCCACTGGGGTGCCTGGCCAGTCTGGGTGAGGGGCTGAGGGCTGTTTTCAGGCTGGCGGGTGACTGAAGCTCCTAACTGTTCCTTTTTTTCTTTTTTTTTTTTTATTCTGGGCCAGCTTTAGCTCTGAGGCTTGGCTCCAGCTCTTAGGCCTCGGCTGCTGAAAGCAGGTATCTGGTTTGTTTGGGTTCTATAATCGAAACACTGTTTCAACTCCAGCTCTGAGATCCCGGCTGGCTGAAAGCAGGTTTCTGGGTTTTGTTTAGCTTCTGTATTTGTAACAATGTTTCAAACTGCAAGTTCAGAGGCCGGCAGCGGCAGGCGGGGAACGTTGGAGTCCTCCATCACTGAAGCAAGCAAGCCTCATGTTCACTTCAAGCTGCCTGGCTGCCGGCCGCCATCTTGGCTGGCAGTTAATTTGCATATCGCCCTGATTAGCCAATGGGAAGGGTAGTGGAGTGACACCAATTTGCATGTTTCTCTTTTATTAGTGTAGATACACACACACACACACACACACACACACACACACTAGTGGCCTGGTGCATGAAATTCGTGCACGGGGGGTGGGGGGGGTGTCCCTTAGCCCAGCCTGCACCCTCTCCAATCTGGGACCCTTCGAAGGATGTCCTATATGGTTTATAGGGATTGGGCCTAAACCGGCAGTCGGATATCACTCTCACAATCTAGGACTGCTGGCTCCTAAACACTCACCTGCCTGCCTGATTGCCCCTAACCACTCTGCCTGCTGGCCTGCTTGCCCCCAGCTGCCTCCCCACTGCCGGCCTGCTCACCCCCAAATGCCCCCTGCTGGCCTGATCACCCCCAACTGCCCCCCATGCCAGTGTACTCATCCCCACCTTCCCTCCCCACTAGCCTGCTTGCCCCCAACTGCCCCCCTGCTGGCCTGCTCACTCCAAATTGCCCCCCCTCGCTGTCCTGATCACCTCCAACTGACCCCCACTGATGGCCTGCTCGCCCCCAACTGGTCCCCCTGCTGGTCTTGCCCCCAACGGCCCCGGCCCCCATCAGCCTGATCACCCACAACAGCCATCCCATCCTGGCCTGATCACCCACAACTGCCCTCCCCTCTTGGCCTCTAACCACCTCTACCTCAGCCCCGCCACCATAGCTTTGTCCAGAAGAACGTCTGGAAGGTCTCCTGGAAGGTCTCCCAGTCTAATTAGCATATTACCCTTTTATTAGTATAGATAGAGGCCTGGTGCATGGGTGGGGGCCGGCTGGTTTGCCCTGAAGGTTGTCCCAGATCAGGCTGGGGGTCCCGCTGGGGTGATTGGCCAGCCTGGGTGAGGGGCTGATGGCCGTTTTCAGGCTGGCCATGCCCCCCGGCGACCCAAGCTCCCAGCCTCTCCTTTTTTTTTTTTTCAGTGCCTCCTTGAGCGGAGGCCAGGGTGGGCTGGAAGCAGGTATCTGGGATTTATTTATCTTTTATAATTGAAACTTTGTAGCCTTGAATGGAGCTCAGGGCCGGCCAGAGCTTGGCTTCCTCCATCGCCGAGGGCAACGCAAGTCTCCTGCTCGCTCTAGCTCTGTGGCCACCACCATCTTAGTTGGGTTAATTTGCATACTTGCTCCTGATTGGCTGGTGGGTGTAGCGGAGTGGCGGAGTGATGGTTAATTTGCATGTTTCTCTTTTATTAGTGTGTGTGTGTGTGTGTGTGTGTGTGTGTGTGTATACACCTTTAGGTTTGTTTGTGACCACAGACCATGGCTTGTTAGCTTCTGATTCACCCTTCGCCAGAGAGGGAAGCTCTTTGGGATCCCAGACAATGTGATGGGAGATTTATCAGACTCAACACCTGGATGAGCTCCAAGTGTTGGCTTTTGTCCCCCTTGTCATGTAAGAAAACCAAAACTCAGTTTCCACATGTTTTCTTCCATATCTGTAAATGTCCTAAGGGTACAAAGGACTTTTCAGTGCTAGATTTACCACTATGGATTCTTGCTTTCTTATTGAATTAGACCTAGAAATTCCTCATCATCTTGTTAGTTCTTCAACACTTAAGGATTTTTTTTCATCCAGCTATTTTAGCAATCCTCAGCCAGAAGGTTATTTTGAACTGAATACTAAATCTATCTTTTTCACCTCATTTGATGGAATTCAACAGAGACATCCAAACACAAAGTTTTTACCTCTTTCAGACCACTAAAAAGTACTCCTTTTTTTTCCTTAAGTAGAAATATTTAACAAGAAGCAAGCATAATATCCAGTGAAAGAGGTTTTGAGCAAGAACTTCTGTTGCTATTATACTTTACCTCCCCAGTGTAGTTCATCTTCTGGAAAAAAGACATACGTCATAAAGTGAATGATCCCGGTTTAGTAATCCCAGTTTGTATTTCAGTATGAATTATTACTCTGTGGTTTTGCATCAGTGTTTATTACCTTTCTACACTTTTGACATAAGTTATAGAAGAAGCCCCACAGTGTATAATTGGATAGTTGATATAGAATTCAATCACTCACTATTTGTGGCATAGTCATTGTTTGCTAAGCAATATGCTCAGTGCTCTAGCGAGTTGCCCACCTGACTCTAACTCCCCTCAAAGGAACTGTGAAGCAGGTCCTCTACTTCAGTTATTTTGTATGTGTTTTTTTCTAGATGAATGAAAAAATATACAAAGCTCAGTTAGAAAACAAAGATCTACAAGAGAAATTGCAGACTCTTACCAGACAATATAAGATTGTCTTACAGGAGGAAAATAAAGTTTTTATGCAAAAAAAGAAAATACAAGAAGAGTATGTTTCTATTTCTGATCCATATATGAGTCAACATACTGTAGTTATGGGGTGCTTTCCTTGCTGTCAAAGTGGTAACCCTTCACCTGAACTTATTCTGGTTTTAAAACCTATTGACACTTAGATAAAGTACTTTCCATTACAGGCGTGTTCCTATCAATGTGTGGAAATGTGAATTAAATCATAACCTTCCTATTATTCTTTCTGCAAGTTAGAGACAAAAAAACAAACCACTTTTTATAAAATGCTTACATCTTGTTTAATCCCATTGAGATGGGTATTTTGATCCCCATTTTTTGGATGGGAAAATTGAGGTTCATTAACAGGTAAAGTTTCTTTTCAAGGTCACACCCCTGGGAAGAGGTAGAGCCAGTATTCAAAACTGGCTCTAACTGGTTTGGCTCAGTGGATAGAGCATCAGCCCACAGATCCAAGGGTGCCCAGCGTGATTCTGGTCAAGGGCATATACCTTGGTTGTGGGTTTGATTCCCCAGTAGGGGGCGTGCAGGAGGCAGCTGATTGATGTTTCTCATCAATGTTTCTCTCTCTCCTTCTCTCTGTAAAATCAATAAAATATATCAAAATTGGTCTGATCGACCCCTTTACCTTTCACAAAAGAATACGGCAGAATTAATAAATGTAGTAGGAGAGACACACACATTCAGAAGAATAAAGTACTATACAGCTGTCCTTATTGTTTTATGGTTACTATTATAATTAGTGCTTTTTTCATAGCTTGGGAATTTTCATAACTTTAGATTTAGCCACGACATGCAGAAAGACTTTGTTTCTATTTTAAATCAATAAAAAAAATATATTAAATAGTTTATGAACTGAATTTTCCAAACTACTTTTGAAAGTTTTAGTGATGGCATATTTTCTCATGCTGAGGATTTGAAAAATGATTATTTAAACCTTTAAAATATGATAGCTCTGTGTTTTTTTTATGGTAGAAACAAAAAACAACTGAAATTTATTGCTGAGAAAGAAAACTTCCTGTCACAAAGAAAAGTAGACATCAAAAATATGGAAGAAGGACTTGTCACGCTTTCTGAACTTTATCGGTATGTTTGTTGCCTTTGAAATTTTTAATCTTCATTCCTCTCTGCATTTTAAAAAAATAAATAGTAATAACAAATATATGTCCATTTCTAATCTCCTACAAAAAAGGAGGTTTATAATTCAGTCTCTTTGTTTAACAATCCTGAACAGTCATTATCATTGAATCTTTCATTGAAAGGGCAGACAGGTTCTAAGTTCTATACAGGTTGCTGAACATGAGGAGTGGACAAGTTAGGGATCTAGTGACAAGAATGTGCCCAAATGTTATTTCAGCACTGACCCCCTGAGATGTTCATTTCTACCATTCTAAATCACTCTAATTGCTATTTTAATTTTTTCTGATTAAAAAAGTAATGCCTATAACTGATTTTAAAATTCAAATATAGAAATTTGTAACTTCAAGAGTAAGTTACTGAAATCTCTCCACAGAAATAATTACTGTTAACAGTTTGCTATACATGCTTTCTAATATCTATATATATAAAAGCCTAACCAACTGAATGAGTGAACAACCGGTCATCCAGTTGCTATGATGCACACTGACCACCGGGGGCAGACGCTCGGCAGGAGCTATCCCCTGGTGGTCTGTACGCTCCCACAGCAGGAGCACTACTCAGCCAGCAGCTGGGCTCACGGCTGGCGAGCCCACCTGCCGCAGTGCAAGCTTCTCCTGCCTCCACAGCAGTGCTACCAAGTGGCAGCAGCAGCAGGTGCATCAGGGCTGGAATGAGTGGGAGCGGCACCTGGCCCCGGCTCGGGCTTCTCCCCAGCCACCTGCAGGGATGCGGGGATCATGCTGAAACTGGCAGCCCAACATCCCCCAGGGGTCCCAGATTGAGAGAGGGCACAGTCCAGGCCCAGGCACCCCACTGGTGCATGAATCCATGCACTGGGCCTCTAGTATATTTATATTTATCTATACATAATATGTACATACTAGAGGGGTCTCTCGGCCTGGCCTGTGACCCCTCGGGGGATGCCGGAGAGCTGGTTTCACCTGATCCCTGCAGGCCAGGCCGAGGGGCCCCACTGGTGCATGAATCCATGCACCAGGCTTCTAGTATGCATATAAGATCTTTGGTTAATCTCTTCCTGCCCTCCCCCATTCCCCTTCCCTCTGAGATTCATCAGTCTGTTCCATGTTTCCATCAGTCTGTCCCTCAATTTCCCTCTGGTGGTCATTGCGCATCATAACTACCACCCTGTTGGCTGGTTGCTTAGGCTTTTATATATATAGAATAGAGGCCCGGTGTGTGAAATTTGTGCTTGGGTAGGGTCCCTAGGCCTGGCCAGCTATCAGAGTTGATCTGTGGGGCTCCTGCTCCCACCCACCTTGGCTGGCCTGGCACCACCTGCTCGCTGGCCCCGCCCCCCACTGCTGGTTGGGGTCTGTGGGCTGGGGGCAGCTCCTGCATTGAGTGTCTGCCCCATGGTGGTCAGTGCGCGTCATAGCGACGGGTCGTTCTGCCAGTCATTCCGCTGTTCAGTTGATTTGCATATTAGGGTTTTATATAGCTAGATATATGCATTTATTTACTCAAAACTTGGGTTGCAGTCTTTTGTAATTGGATTTTTCCCACTTAAAATTATATCTGGGTAACTTACACAATATCATATGTCAGTTATATCTCAACAAAGCTGGAAAAATTATATCTGAGAGAATAATAAAACCATGGTTGGTGAAAGTTATGGGATTCTTTGCACTGATTTTGACACTTACCTGTTGAGTTTAAAACTATTTAAAAATAAAGAAAAAATCATGTATACAGGACCTCTTTCCTCATTCTTTTCTTTAACTGCATAGTATTTCTTCTCCAGATTATACTGTATTTTATTTAACTAATACTTTGTTGATGGACATTTTTTTCTGTTTCCTATATTACTAACAATTTTCAAAGTTAACATTAACATATCTCTGTCCACCTATGTGACTATTTCTCTTTTTTAAAATTTTTTATTGTTTAATGTATTACATAAGTCTCCTTTTCCCCGCATTAACCTCTCCCTGGTTGCCCCCAATCCCCAGAACATGCCCTCACCAGCCCCCCTTCCATCTGTGTCCATTGGTTATACTCATATGCATGCATACAAGTCCTTTGGTTGATCTCTTACCCCCTCACCCCTGCCTTCCCTCATAGGTTGGACAGTCTGTTCGATGCTTCTATGATGTTGGTTCTATTTTTGTTCATCAGTTTATGTTCATTATATTCCACAAATGAGTGAGATCATGTGGTATTTTTCTTTCATTGGCTTATTTCACTTAGCATAATGCTCTCCAGTTCCATCCATGCTGTTGCAAATGGTAAGAATCCATTCTTTTTTACAGCAGTGTAGTATTTCATTGTGTAGATGTTCCACAGTTTTCTAATCCACTCATCTGCTGATGGGCACTTAGGCTGTTTCCAAATCTTAGCTATTGTAAATTGTGCTGCTATGAACATAGGGGTGCATATATCCTTTCTGATTGGTGTTTCTGTTTTTTTGGGATATATTCCTAGAAATGGGATTACTGGGAAAATGGCAGCTCCATTTTTAATTTTTTGAGGAAATGCCATACTGTTTTTCCACAGTGGCGGCACCAGTCTGCATTCCCACCAGCAATGAAGGAGGGTTCCTTTTTCTCCATATCCGCACCATCACTTGTCGTTTGTTGATTTGTTGATGATAGCCATTCTGACAGGTGTGAGATGGTACCTCATTGTTGTTTTGATTTGCATCTCTTGGATGATTAGTGACTTTGAGCATGTTTTTATATGTCTCTTGGCCTTCTGTATGTCGTTTTTTTTAAATAAAAAAAGTGTCTATTTACATCCTTTGCCAATTTTTTGATTGGATTGTTTATCTTCCTTTTGTTAAGTTGTATGAGTTCCCTATAAATTTTGGAGATTAAACCCTTATCGGAGATAACATTGGCAATATGTTCTCCCATGCAGTGGGCTTTCTTGTTGTTTTGTTGATGGTTTCTTTTGCTATGCAGAAGCTTTTTATTTTGATGTAGTTCCATTTGTTTATTTTCTCCATTGCTCTAGGAGTTGTATCGGTAAAGATATTGCTATGACAAATGTCTGCTATTTTGCTATCTATGGATTCTTCTAAGATTTTTATGGTTTCCCACCTTACATTTAAGTCCTTTATCCATTTTGAGTTTATTTTTGTGTATAGTGTAAGTTGGTGTTCTAGTTTCATTTTTTTTTTTTTGCATGTATCCATCCAATTTTCCCAACACCATTTACTGAAGAGACTGTCTTGAATCCATTGTATGCTCTTGCCTCCTTTGTCAAATATTAATTCAGTATAGTGGCTTGGGTCTATATCTGGGTTATCTGTTCTGTTCTATTGGTCTATATGTCTGCCAGTACCAGGCAGTTTTGAGAACAGTGGTGTTGTAATATAGCTTGATATCTGTTATTTGTGATCCCTCCAACTTTGTTCTTTTTTCTCAAGATTGCTGCAGCTATTCGGGGTCTTTTTTTTATTCCAGATGAATTTTTGGAGATTTTGTTCAAGGTCTTTGAAGTATGCTGTTGGTATTTTAATGGGGATTGCATTGACTCTATAGATTGCTTTGGGTAGTATGGGCATTTTATTGATGTTGATTCTACCAATCCATGAGCACGGTATATTCTTCCACTTGTTTATGTCTTCTTCTATCTCTTTTTTCAGCATGACTAGTTCTTTATAATAAATCCTAAAAGTTGAATTCCTGGGTCAAAGAGGGTTATGTATTTTTTATTTTTATAATTATGAAATGCCCTATGTAAATATTCTATCATTTTACACTCACTAATACTGGGCATAAAGCAACTTATACTGTCGTTGGGCACATGATCAAGACTAACAACAGGCAATAACTAATAAATGGTATATAACTGAAGAATAGCGTGAATTATTAAGAAACAATCAAAGAAGGGTGAAGGAAAGTAAAGGAGTTCTTCTTTGTTATATAAAGATTTAAAACTGTAGGCCTTTAAAAGCAAATCAGATTTTTTCTCTTTGCTTATCAAATGGGGGAATAATATCGCCACTCATAGAGAGATAAATAACTTGAATATAGGATACTGAAGAGACTAACTTACAGAAAACTAAGATGGGTGGTGATGAAAATTTGACATATATCAACAGAAAGGTGGAGCGGGCAGGAAGTGTAGCTTTCTGGTTGCATGTCCCTATATTGTTAAATCATATTTTTAAACATCTATTTTTCATCATGTGAGCCTCAGAAAAGAAACTATAAACCCTTCACTATAGAGAGCAGGAGAATAGAACTGGGTTGATTGAGGTTTTACGTTCCTTGTTAATAATGCAAATTTACAGTGAATTATTGTGTCATCATTACTCTGATCACCAGGAAGCTCAGAGCCAAATACTGGCATCCATTAAGGATTTTTTTCTATTACTGTTGCTTTATTTTAAACTAGTCAACCGCTGTGGGAATTAAATTTAAAATGTAAATAAATAAAATCAATAATGTTGGGGCAAATTATAAAGAACCCTGCAGTTCCAGGGAAGGATATTATGTTTATTTTGGTAAGAAATTGATTTCAAATAGAGAAGGGGAAAAAAAAAACGAGCACAGTGTGTTTTTAGTTTATTTAACAGTATTTCCTATTCTAAGTTGCATTTGTCAATATTTCTATCTTTTAAAAAGGTATAAAGTCTCATTTTACTTATGCGGCCTTTAACTCATCACTGTGCATGATGAAGCACTTAGGGAATAAAGGGAATGAAAATAATAAAGGCTTCTGATGTCTATGTTAGAGCCCTCACATTTTTATCCATTTCAGATTCACCAGAAAAATCTTCCATCCTGAATACTATTTACCCCTAGTTCAAGCATTTCTATTGACGTTCTGAATTAAACATTGGAGCAAATCGTAACTAATCTAGAATTCAGAGATCCTCACCGGTTTGTTGACTCTGACTCCTCCTACTTCACGGTGCTGTTTCCCTTCATCTGTGGGCAGCGAGTCTGCCTTCGTCACAGGGGTCCCGACGTGCTGTTCTGTTCCCCAGTGTCTTTACAAACAGCGAGGTCCTTTCCTTGGTGGGATCGCTCCTCCGTTCCGGCAACCCATGTGTCTCCTCCTGTCAAACAGGAACCTCCAATAATCTTTCTCCAGCTGCATCCCCAGAGTCTGTTCCCTCTCCTTGGAGATCCAGCTCGATACTTGCAAACTCAGTGTGTGCTTGCACAGAACCTCAGTTATCTTTCTGTCATTCTGCGACTAAATTCTTCAGTGGTTTCACAAGGTTTGTTTTGTGTCCCAATTAAGCAATAACCTTATTGCACGTAAGATTTATACATAAATTTTTATATATTCTAACAGCTCCTATAAATAAATGCCAAATCCAGTATCTTTTTCATGTTTTTAGAGCAACACAGGAAGTCTATCAGAAGCACATAGAAATCCTGAGTGGAAACCTGGAAAGAGAAATTCAGAGATGGTAAAGAAAACCAGTTCCTTTGTGTATGTTATTTAGTATCTGAATGAACAGTGCCCCAAAGTAGGGAAGAAATCAGAGTACTTGTTGGTTGCTAGAATCCAAGAAACTGATTTTCTTAAGCTAAATTGTGTGAGTTCTGGATCTACATGTATGTACATAAGTGTGTATATAAATGTGTGTGTGTGTGTGTGTGTGTGTGTGTGCGCGTGCGCGCGCACCTGTGCGTGCACATTTTTTGGCTCTGACCAGAACCAAAGTTTTCCATTTCAATCGAGTAAAGTCACAAAATAGTAAAAGTAAAATTGCCAAGATTTGTGTAATGCCTTTTGCACATCCAGGCCTCGTGGGGACAGCAGGGGATGTGCAGGGACAGAGACGCGGTGGGAGTACAGGCTCTGCAGAGGGGTGACCCTGATGGCTCTACCTCTAACTCACTCTGGGATCACAGCTGTTATTTCATTATCTCTCTGCTCCCATCCCTGTAAAGGGGGGAATGGTGGTAGTGCCGCCCCGTCATGGTAAATGTCATGATCCGTGTAAAGTATTTGGATCAGCACCTGGCATCAAAGAAGCGCTTGGGAAAACATAACTCTATATTTTTATTGTTGTGGTCATTGGTAATAATATGATGTATGTAAGACTCGAATGGCACATTCTGGCTCCCAATTATTTAGCTTTTCTATGTTGTAGTGGAGAGAAATTTGAGAACCTAGAAGCTTGAAATCCCTCATTAGCACTTTGGGTCATTTAGGTACTTCCATGACTCTTCTGCCTGGGCCTCTCTTTTCTTCCACTGCCCCCACACCTTTCCCATTTCTCTCCTCGCCTAAAGGAGGCAAGCTGCCAAGTGTGGTTTGTCCGCTGTCCTATTGGATGGGCCCACTGAGCATCTTACTTTTTTTATTATTGATTTTTTTTTTTTACAGAGAGGAAGAGAGAAGGAGAGGGATAGAGAGTTAGAAACATCGATGAGAGAGAAACATCGATTCAGCTGCCTCCTGCACACTCCCTACTGGGTATGTGCCCGTAACCAAGGTACATGCCCTTGACCGGAATCGAACCTGGGACCCTTCAGTTCGCAGGCCCACGCTCTATCCACTGAGCCAAACCGGTCAGGAAAGAGCGTCTTACTTTGAAGCAAAGTGCAGATCCGGCATTGAGGCAGTCAACGTTTTGTCTTATTTTTTTTTAGCTAATGTGGAGCCTGCATCGCCAATAGTACAAACAGTTTTGTGTGATCGGAGAATTTGTTTTGTTTTGCATCCCTTCATCTTTTCAGTAGACTGTTATGTCAATTTAATGATGACATAAAATTGTCCCAATCTTTTTGTTCTAATCTCTAGTGTTCTGACTCAGTGGAAAATAGCTTGTTTGACGAAAAGACATGGACGTTGGCTACTCAAGATGAAAGAAGAATTAGACGCTATTATGGATCAAATCAAGATCGCAGAAGATAGACGCAATGAGTTAATAGAAGAGGTAAGGAAACGCAACAGACTTAGTATTCGTTTCCTATATTGCATATCAGTAATTGTCCTTCAATATTAAGTTTAACTCAAAGATATTTTTCCTTTCAGCTGACTTCAAGCTTAGGGTGAACTATGTAATCTTCCTAAGAAATATATCCATTTGCTGTGTATTAGCTATAGGAATTTAGCAAACGAAGTGGCAATTTTCTCCTGTGATCAGACACTTGATTGTTTTTTAGGAATTTGTTTCTAAAAATAAAGAGATCAAACATCATTTATTTAACTTCCATATTTACCCTCTGCCCACCCTCCATCATTCACTGACCCCATTCTCCATTTCCTCGTGTCATTTATAAATACTATTTGTCGAAGAAATTCATCTCTGAAGTGGTTACTGAGAAATAATGACCTGAAATCAGAGCCAAGTCTCATGCAAAAAGATATTCATTTACCTGGTTGTTGGAAAAAATCCAAGGATGACTGCTACTAGACAAATGACAAATCTTTCTTTCCCCCTCATTAGACCAGTGTTACAGAAAAAGAGATCACTGAAAATTTGGTACAGATTAAAAAAATTGCATTAGATTTAAAACGAACCGAGACGGAATTTGTCGTCAGTGAAAAAAAGTTAATTCAAGAATTGAGCAAGTATGAGGTAAATTTTATTTTACATCTAAGAATAATTATAGAGGGCTGTGTGCCAGGAAAGGGGTAGATGTTCCATGCTCCTCTAATTAGTTAAATATAAGACAAATCTTTTAGTGTGAAGAAAACTACATTTCATTCTGAATCTTTCTTCTTTTCCTAAAAAGGAAATAGAGCAGCCAGAAATATTGTTGTACTGACTTGGGAACTGCCCAGAGCTGACCTGGGATAGACCAGGGTGTGGATGCTGGTGGAGGTGGATAAAAGGGGACCAGATGTACCCAGGGCACTCAGAAACAACACAAACTACGCCTTCTCAAGGTGGCGGCGTGACCGTGAAAGGCCAGGGTGTGTTTCTCGGAGCCCGGCATTGGTAGAGAAGTTGAGGAGAGAAGAGATGGTGGTAGGAGCCTTCCTGACCTGATTTGGTTTGAAGGGGGAAAGAGGCCCGGCAACACCAAACAGTTTGTGTTTGAAGGCAGCGGTCCCTTGCTGTAGCGATGGAGTAGGGAGCCCTTACATTTCAAAGTTTAGATCTGACCCTGGTCCAAGCCTATTTCCCCCCCGGCCCCCCCACCCACCTCAGGTACTTATTCCCCGCCACCTCATCCAGAAGCCTCTGCAGAGAACTAATCCAAGAAGAGCCACTTCTAATATGAGTGACAGGCAAGAAGCAGGCACACCTTCCACACAAAAAATGCTGTGAGAACAAACAAAAGGCGTCCCTGCAAATGAAGAGCACTCAGAAAAGTGACGCTGCCACAGATGAAAACTGGGATCAAACGTTCTTTCCTGAATTAAAAAAAAATGTAACTTCGCGGGGCTGTGCAGGAAAGTCAGCAATTCGGGAGCACAGGCACTGGGGCAGAGATGTCAGAGGGCTGGCCAGGCGTAGGGAGAGGTGACATGGCAAGCGGCACAAGGCAGGGAGCAGATGGCAGAGAGCGCGGCACAGAATGACACAGAACCAGAGGGGACGGTGGGGAGCGGTGGGTGGGAGCACTTCTCTGTTGGTTGTACCACATCTGGATGCGAGGTATTCTTCTAGATCAGGGGTGGGCAAACTTTTTGACTCGAGGGCCACAATGGGTTCTTAAACTGGACCGGAGGGCCGGAACAAAAGCATGGATGGAGTGTTTGTGTGAACTAATATAAATTCAAAGTAAACATCATTACATAAAAGGGTACGGTCTTTTTTTTTTTTTTTGGTTTTATTCATTTCAAACGGGCCGTAGTTTGCCCACAGCTGTTCTAGATGCCAACAGAAAACAAAAAACAACAGAGCTTGGCCTTTCAAACGCCCAGTGGGGGGAATTTGAAAAGAAACAAAATAAAAAAATAGAACATATAGTAGATTCGATGGTGATGAATGCTATAGAGAAAAAGAAAGCAGGGACATGGGCTGGAGTGTGCGCTGTTTTGAATAGGGTAGTCAGAGAGGGCCCGCCCTGCAGGCGTGAGGGAGCTTGCGGTGGAGAAGGCTGTAGGAGGCGGTGCCGGGCAGAGGGCACGCTGAGCATGAAGGTCTGAGGCAGGGCTGTCCTACCTGAGGAACAGAAAGGGTCAGGTGGCTGGAGCAGAAATGGGGACCATAGGAATGAATTAATGCATCCACACACCTCCTTATCTCCCCACCCCCCCACCCCCGCCCTGCTATTCTGTTCTGTAGAGAACATAGTACAGATAACACACAATTGAGTTTTTTCACACTGCTTCACTGTGACATTTTAAAATCATGGTGGTGTGTGTGTGTTGTGTGTGTGTGTGTGTGTGTGTGTGTGTGTGTGTGTTCCTATATTTATTTATAAGGATTTTAATGGCAATTTAGAAGGGGACATAGGCTGGTGTGTTAATTAGGGTGTAAGCAAGCTGCTTGTATCAAAGAGATGCCAAAACACAGCGAATATATGCAAGGTGTATCCTGCAGGGTTAGCAAGCCTCTCTCTATTGGGAAGTGGCCCGTGGCTGAACGTGTTGGCTTCCTGCCCTGGTAGCCTGATAAAGGGGCACTGGCAGCTGTAGGGTCAGGTAGCACAGCTAGTGTAGAAAAGCCCCCTGGTGGGTGTGCTGCATCTTGACTGGGAGCCTTAATTGGTGGGAAATCGTGACATCGGGCTCTCCTGGGGTTGGTGCCTCATTTAAGTGGGCGTGTCCCTTGCGGGGACCTAGAAGGTTTGCCCAAGAGATGCTGGTCCTCTCTGAACCTGGCGCTCTAGTACCCACCCGTGCCGGTCTCTTTCCCCTCATCTGAGTTTATTTCTTTGGTGGGGTAGAAGGGCACTGGCCTCTGGTCAGCTGTGTTTTAGGGCGCCTCCTGCTGGGGAAGCATGTCTATTGCTGCCCTGCTGGCACTCAGGGATTTCTTCAAGTTACATGCAGATACAACTTGGCTAAAAATAAAAATGGAAGTATTTCAGAGTAAACTGGGTCAAGTACGTTCTATTGAAACCTTAAGAGCCTGCGTATCGAGTTGAGAAGACCCACTGGTCTGGTCATTGCAGCAGGAGAGACGGTTCTTTCTCTTTCTCGGTAGAGGCTAAAGGTGAGCAATCCCGGGCGGGAGGGGCAGGTCCACCTGCTCAGCGTATGGCTAACACCTGCGGGTCCAGGTGGCGGCTTTCATTCTCATCCTCTCCAGCCAGGGGAGGGGGGAAGGGGCCAAGGGGGCACATACCCCTTCTTGCTGCAGGGGCGAGGCCCAGAAGTGGCACGAACCACTTCTGCTCACATACTCGCTGGTCACACCCACCTGTAAGGGAAACAGAGAAACCCCTGTAGCTGGCAGCCATATGCTCTGCTGAACTCCGGCGTCCTGAGGTTCAAGGACAGGAGAACGGATAGTGAATGTCAGCTGGCCGCCTCTGCCTTCGTCACCATTTTAAACTTATCCTGATTTTCTACAAAAAATAATTACTCCATTTGAAATGAAACAAAACCTGAGATTGAATAGTAAGCAGGCAAATTCGTGCTTTGCTTTGGACACTTTGTGCCCATTTGCGGTAGAACAAGCATGTCAAACTCACAGGCTAACACGGGCCAAATAAACAAGGGTTAAGTTCCTGTGGGCCGTAGAAACACAAAAGCTTCAATTTTCATAGAAATGTAGGTTTATGTCGATAGAGACATGCTGAATACAAAGGGCTGAAATAAATGAGTAATTGTTAACATAAAATAATAGAACATTTTAATGAAAATTAATATTTTCTTGAACATTAACTTACCAGACTCTGGATAACTGCACAAATTAATAAGCGTAATGCAAATCTATTTTTCGTGTTCTCTGAAAGCGAAATATTTCCTGTTGCGCACACCAAACAAGTCAATACAAGACTAATAACGTGGCAATCGGCTGCTAAAATATTTGCTGCTAGTATTAGTGGAGGGAAATGGTGTGCCTGCATGTAAGGCGTGTAAGGGAAATGAATGCAACACGATTATAGTAATCAGTCATTAGCGAACATTGTAGTTCGTTATTAACAATGTGTAACAGGATATTGTAAAAATTAAGTCACAAAATTTAAATTAAAATGTTTCTTACATGCCGTTATAGTGGCTGGGCTGCAAAAATATTCATTGTGGGCCACATGGGGCCCATGGGCTGCGAGTTTGACATGCTTGCTGTAGAAGTATATCCAATTATTGCTACCCCCTCCCATTTCTTTCTTACATGCACATTTCTTAGAACTTGTGTATAATCTGTCTTGCTGCCTGTTTGCTTGTTTTGGTTTTTTTTTTTTTACCCATAAAATATGGTCAACCAAGAGAAGTTCCTCAAATGATTTGGGAGTACACACATGGTAACAGCAGAATTGTAGCAATAGAGCTATAGAACTGAGAGGATCTTCGGAAAGCCATTGACTCTCGTCATCTTAGTTTATAAGTGAGTCAGCCAGCAAATATTTTTTAAAATATCTAGGATGTGCCAGATACCTTGCTATGCACCTTAGGACAGGTGAAGACCAAGAGAGAACTCTATCCCTCAAATAATTTATAACTACTCTCGACTGTTATGTCAGTTCTCTGAAATCATGCCTCACAATCAGCTTTACTTTCTTAAAGGAAAAATTTGTTAAGAAAATGGAAAGTACCAAAGAAAAGGAAGATGAACTAGTCACATATCTTCCCACACTTCATGAGACAGAAGAAGAATATAAGAGCAAAAACAACATGTTTCAAGAGCTGGGTCGTATTCTCACAGGTTTGTATGAGGCACTAAGTAATTGACCTTAAGCCCAGGTAAGGATTTCACCATTGACTTCTAACGAGGGGTTCACCCACCAAAGCAAGGTTGAATTCCCTCTACCTTTCCTCATCACCTTTAACTCTATTCTCTAGGGTTTGGGTGTTCTGTTTTTTTCTTATCTACAAATTTCCTCTCCTTTATAACACAAAATCCTACTGTTGCTGTTGTCAAATTTTTCCTTTTCTTTGTTAAAGATTGTTTAAAATTAAGAATTAGTAGCAACTATATTATGTGGTTTCTCCCTGTATTTGGTAAAGGTAGAATCAACTTCTTTACTACCACGTGGAGATTTTTTTCCTGTTTCTTAACATAAATTTGGAAATTGTATCATTTCCAGCTATGATTTTAGCCTTAGGAGTTGGACAAAGGGGTGGGGGCAGTGTTGGGGATCACCTGACTGCTAGTTTTTGTTATAAGCCATAGTATTTGACTTTTAAAACCAGGTTCATTTCTTATTTTGATGAATGTTTTTTAAGCCAAAGAACATTGTGGGTAGTTATTTTTTCTCTGTATCTCTTTTATAGACCAAAAAAAGGAACAGAATGTACTGAATGATCAGATTTCTCAAATGACAAGAGAGTTTACAAGACAAATGAACATTTTGGTAAAGAGTCCATGCATCCATTCTTCTTTCTTCTATTAAAATGTTGATATAAAAAAAATGTTGGTGTATACTCACAGTAATACTTACCTGGCACCTTTGGAGTTTTCAGGAAATCCACATTGATTAAACTTACCCTTTTAATATTAATGTTTTGAAATTTTAGTAACAACATACATATACACATACATATATATGTATGTATGTGTATTTGTATATCCTCTTCCCCACTTTTGCTGGACAGTTGTTCATATATCTATCTATATATATATATATATATATATATATATATATATATATATATCTGTGTGTATATGCATGTCTGTATCCTATATAATAAAAGCCTAATATGCTAAGTGTCTGGTCATCCAGTTGGCTGTTCAACCAATTAAAGTGTAATATGCTAATGATATGCTAAGGCTCCTCAACTGCTTGCTATGACATGCACTGACCACCAGGGAGCAGACAGTCAGCCCGCCGGCCAGTTGCTGTGACATGCACTGACCAGGGTCAGATGCTCCAACTGGTAGGTTAGCTTGATGCTGGGGTCCAGCCAAACAGGACTGAGCAAGATGGGCAAGGCAGGTGCTGGAGCCTCCCTACAGTCCCTCCCCGACTGGTCAACCTCTCACGTCCCTTCCCGGCCCTGATCATGCATCAGTGGGGTCCCTCAGCCTAGCCTGCACCCTCTCTCAATCTGGGACCCTTTTGGGGATGTCAGAGAGCCAGTTCTGGCCCAATCCTACAGGCCAGGCCGAGGGACCCCACTGGTGCACGAATTCATGCACTGGGTCACTAGTATCTATACTAATAAAACGGTAATATGCTAATTAGATTGGACATCTTCCGGACCACCTTCCAGACGAAGCCACGGTGGCGGGGGGCGAAGCAGAGGCAGTTAGGGGCAATCAGGCCAGCAGGGAAGAGCAGTTAGGGGGCAACCAGGCTTGCAGGGAAGAGCAGTTAAGGGGCGACCAGGCTGGCAGACAGAGGTGATTAGAGGCGATCAGGCAGGCAGGTGAGCAGTTAGGAGCCAGCAGTCCCAGATTGCGAGAGGGATGCCCGTATTGGAGAGGGTGCAGGTCGGGCCGAGGGACCTTCCTCCCCCCGCCGCCATGCACGAATTTTGTGTACCAGGCCTCTAGTGTATATATAAAGAGAGAGACAGGGACTCTAACATGTAACCATGGGAACATCATTGGGTGGCCTTGATTTCCTTATTTATAAGGTGGAGATTGGCTTATGCTTTCTAAGGTTCTTTTCAGATCTGTTACTTTGGTAAGTTCCTATGAAGACAAGGATAAGTGGTCAGAGGTTGCAGGGTAGGGAGGGAGTGGATGAAAAGGGAACAGGTAAAGAGGTGTTTATTACCTTTTTAAAATTTATAATCAGTAGTTAATGATAAACATGTATGTGGAGTTGCTTGATTAGAAATGGAAACATTCTACTCTTTGAGATGCACTGATATAAAAAGTAACTTTTTAAATATATTTTATTGATTTTTTACAGAGAGGAAGGGAAAGAGATAGAGAGTTAGAAACATTGATGAGAGAGAAACATCGATCAGCTGCCTCCTGCACATCTACTGGGGATGTGCCCGCAACCAAGGTACATGTCCTAGACTGGAACGCTCTGGGACTGGGACCCTTCAATCCGCAGGTCCTTTCCGCTGACCCCAACTGGTTTTGGCTAAAAAATAACTTTTAACATGTTATTGGCATAGAGAGATATGAAGGGGAAAATTGTAAGTATACAATATATACAATTTTATGTTCTTAATAAGATGCTGCTAGTGGCCAAAACCGGTTTGGCTCAGTGGATAGAGCGTCGGCCTGCGGACTGAAGGGTCCCGGGTTCGATTCCGGTCAAGGGCATGTACCTGGGCTGCGGGCACATCCCCAGTAGGAGATGTGCAGGAGGCAGTGGATCGATGTTTCTCTCTCATCGATGTTTCTAACTCTCTCTATTTCTCTCCTTTCCTCTCTGTAAAAAATCAATAAAATATACTTTTTAAAAAAGGGAAAGTTCTCAGTGGCTCTCCTTATACAAAAAAAAAAAAAAGATGCTGCTAGTGATGATTATGCAATGAATAAAGATTGTGATTTATAACAGTATAATAACTGTAGAGATTGTCGAGAAAACAGAAAGTTTCTTAAAAATCTATAAAGTAATATTCTTTTCCTTCAAGAAATATTAAATCCTCCCGAAAAATCCTCAACAAACTTCACTCTCCTCTTCCCTACTTTTGCTGGACAATTGTTCATATATCAACATATATGCTATTTTGTGAAGTTGTCTCAACAACTTAACTTAGGGCCCGTGGACCTGCTTCCCAAAGTCCATGAATAAATTCCCATGAATCAGCTCTTGGATTTAAAATAAAGTTTTTCTGCGGGAAGGTCTGCATAGCCTTTGCTGATGGTTCAGGACTTACTTGGGACTCCTCTCTGAACGTGGTCCAGGCGGCCTAATGTATCAGTGCCCGGCTCGTTGAATCTGTGAGTTAACTGTGGGCTTTATGTCTGAGCAGAGTAAACTGAAGCGAGAATTACAACAATTGCGAGATCAAGAAAGCGATCGACTCAAAAGTCATTTTGAAATTCTACAGAACTTAGAAAATGAAGTCTATGCACATGACCTAGAAACAGAAGCCTTGCTCCTGGAAAATGAAAGGTTGAAAAAAGTAAGTTCAAGAGCACTCCAGTGTGCACAGTGGTTCTGGTTATAATCATTATGAGAGAAGAGCTCTTAAAAGCCTTTAAATGAAGTTTAAAGTACCTACAAGAAGGTGCCCAAATCATACGTGTACAGCCTAATGAGCACACCGGGGTGACCAGCACCCAGATCAAGAATCAAAGCAGTACTGGTGTCCACATACCCTCCCAGTCCCTTCCCGTCCCCGACCGCCTCGCAAGGGCAGCACCCGACTGGCTTCTAACACTACAGACCAGTTTTGCCTGTTTTTGAGCATTATACATGTGGAATGGGACACTGCGCACTTTTTTTGCTCAACACCGTGCTTGTGAGGTTCATCTTTATTGTCGGGTGCCGTTGAGGTTCCTTCATTCTTAGTTCTGGGTGGGACTCGATTGTGTGACTCCACTACACTTTATTTGCACCGTTGACGGGGGTTCAGAGTTTCTCCGGTGGGCTGTTACAAATAGTGTTGCTAGGAACATTCTAGTACATGTTTGTTTGGTGAACATATGTACGTTTTTCTGTTGGGCATACACTCAAGTGGAATCACAGAGCCATGGGGTGTATGCCGCCCGCTTTAGTGCACAGTGCCGGTCTCCCAAAGACGTTGCAGTGATGGCCACTCTGGCATTAATGTATGAGAACACCAGCTGTTCCGCATTCTCGGTCTTTTCCAACGTAACCATTCTGGCGGGTGTGCGATGGGGTCCCAGTATTTGTATTTTCCTGGTGACGAGTGAAGCGCCTGTCCATGTGTTTTGGCCACTTGTATAACCTCTTTGCGAAGTGCTTGTTCTGTTGCCCAATTTAAAAATTAGGTTGTCAGTCTGTTTCATATCGATTGTATGTTTTTCCCCCAGTGAACCATCGTGACCTCGATGGGTCAGGAAGTGGGTCAGTGTATCCCAGCTGTTTGCGCAGTCCCTCACATGTAAGAGGGATTCGGTCCCATGGGATGATCCCAGTAACCTTATAACGTGGATAATATATTCTGCCCCTTGTATAGAGGAGGAAAGTGAGACTCTGCATTTGTAATAATTTTTTAATAGTTGGAAAAATAAAAGCAGTCCTACAGCAATAAGACTCTAAGTAAGGAGAAAATTCCTTTAGCTCTCTGGGAGATTGTGGTCCTTAGTTCAATGACAACACTTTTCCCACCAATAGCATGTGTATTTTTTGTAGAATTAAAATGGCGTAAAAGGTACCAAGGTACTTTGGAAGGGAAATGTGTTCCATGGAGCCCAGGTACCATCATCAATAACCCCCCCCCTCCCCTCCCCCCCGCCCACACACGCAACACATCCTTGTTCTTCTAGCCCTTGAACCAAACTCATAAGGAATTCCATCCACTCATGGAAATATTCCACTCTATTGTCTCCCTATCAAGGTGATATATTATTTATTAAAATACTTGGAATGTTATTGCTGTTTTGGTAATGTGTAAGCAAATGAATGCCTATGTCATTCTAAAAGTTCCACTTTTGGATTAAGTGCCCAATCTACTGATTCCTCTGGATGACCCTGTGCTTTTATCTTATTCACTCACCATTCTGTTTTGCTGATTATGTATCTTCACTCAACACACACTCTGAGCATCCACTGAGCCCCAAACCCTGGGGAAGGTGCAGTGAATAGAGCTGAATAAGGCACTGCCCGAGCCCTTGGGAAGCTCACCCTCTGGCCGAGGAGACGGGCCTATAAATAGATCATTACAATTCAGCGTGTTAACTCATTTGAGAGTTACGGGAGGCCAGCCGAACTAGGCAAGTCTACAAACAGTGATCCACGTTCAAAGAGAGGCAGGAATGATGATTTGGACTTGACTTTGGTTTACTATAATATCTGCCGCCAAGCCATGCGAAGGCTGACACAAGGTCAAAGCTGCGTGAGTAGACCCTGTACCACTGGGGTTAAAAACAGTTCTATGTCATCTCCTTCTATGGTGGATGCTACTTCTTATATTTTTTTCAGTAGTTTTAGTCTCTACTATTTCTCTCTTGAAACTGGACCAGTGCCACGTTTACATCCCAAAGCCCGTCCTTTCAGAGTTCCCAGAGACGGTAGAGTTCCTGAGTAGTGGGTGGTCAGAAGAGAAAGCCATGACTTTAGTATCCAAACCACTGTTACCACCATCACCAGCCCAGTGAGCGGTTCTATGGGGTCTTCTGCCTCAGGAAACCCTCTCCCTGATCTTATGCTGAGTTCTTCCCGTCAGGCAGCATCGTTGCTGTGACATCCACTGCACACCATTTTGCATAAGGAACATTGTGTGTGTGTGTGTGTGTGTGTGTGTGTGTGTGAGAGAGAGAGAGAGAGAGAGAGAGAGAAGAGAGAGAAGAGAGAGAGTGCATTTAGAATACCATTTAATTTCTTCTATGTAAAATTCTATTCAGATACTGTGTTTATTTGGGTGCCAAAATGCTTGCTAGAAAGTCGGATCTTTCTCTCCCTCACTAGAATGTAAGCTTGACAGGGCTGTTCACCACTGTTAGCACTGCACCTAGATCAGTTGATGGCACAGAGGAGGAATCAATAAATGTTTACTGAATGACTGCACAGAGAACTAGCTTACAGTAACAAACTGCTTAAAACAATTCCATGCCTTTGATTTTCAGTATATTGCATACATGAAGACCAAGATAGAGCCGTACGCACAAGAAGCCAACACGTACATCTACAGTGAGCTGTCCTGGCACCTGGTAGCTAATTACGGTAGGTAACGTGTCCTGGGTGAGCTTTACATATAAAGTAGAAAGCTTTTGTTTTATTTAAATCAAATTTTACTGATTTGCATGCAATACATGCACCATCTTGAGTGCAATGAGTTTTGATAAATGTGCATTCCATCGTAACCACTGCCAGCACAAACAAGATATAGAGCGTTCTCATTCCTTGTGTTCCTTTGTAGTCCCACCCAACCTCCAGTTCTTGGAAACCACTGGCCTGCTTTCTGTCACTAAGGATTGGATATAAATGGAATGATAGACTATGCACACTTTTGGACCTGGCTTCTTTCACTCAACAAACTGTTTTTAAGACCCAGCCATGTTGTTGCACGTATCATTGGCCGGCTCCTTTATGTGGCTGTATAGTATTCTACGACATGGCTGTACCATGTTTTTTATTTATCCACTAGAGGCCCAGCGCACGAAATCGTGTGGGTAGGGTCCCTAGGCCTAGCCTCCTGCGATCAGGGCCGTCTTCTGCCCATTTGCCAGTCCCCAGGCCGAATGCCACCTCCGCCGCTGAGCTGTCAGGCCACTGGGATCACCAGCTCATCCCTGGCTGCTCGGGGGCTCAGGCCTGGGGGAAAGTTTGTACCAGTGACTTCACTTCCATGCACGTGTGCCCGGCGGGGGTTGATGGAACATGCTGCCCGCTCAGGGCCGCTCATGCAGGCGCCGCGCGTTGCCGCTGCCCCTGCCGCTGCTGCCCTGCCGCTGCCGCCCTACCGCTGCTGCCCCTGCCGCTGCTGCCCCTTGCCGCTGCTGCCCCTGCCGCTGCTGCTGGGGCTTGAGGCACTGACGGAAGCTGCGGGGCGTGCCCATGGCCTACCTGCCCCAGAGTGAGCAACCCCGAGCAGGTAGCACGTTCCATCAGCGGCCGGCCTGGAGCACACGCATGGAGGTGAAGTTGCCCACGCACGCTTTCCCGCAGGCCTGAGCCCCCGAGCAGCCAGGGATGAGCTGGTGATCCCAACGGCCTGACAGCCAGCCCGGTCCTCCCGCCACCCACCCGGAATGCCCCGTTCACCATCGTTGATCCATCGGAGCCTGCTGGCCGGGAGCAGGGACCAAGAGGTCAGCCGTTCAGCCCACTCGCCAGTCCCCAGTTCCGCCCTGCCGCTGCTCGTGGACCAGTGGTGTAGGGACCGAGAGGTGGTCAATGCCACCTCATGGTGAGTGGTCTAGTGGTCGTTCTGGTCATGACGTTTATGGCCTCTGGCCTTTTATTATATAGGATTCACCAGCTGAAGGGCATTTGAATTCTTTCCAGTTTGGGGTTACTATTTATCTACAAGTGTTTTTTTATTTTATTATTTGTTTTTAAATCCTCACCAAGGATATGGTTTTTATTGATTTTTAAAGAGAGAAGAAAGGGGAGCATATTGCAGTGTAACAGATATTGCACATCATTTACTTTGCTCACAAATTGACAGTTTGGTCAGAACTTGGTGGAGACAACTCGGGTCTGCCCCACATGACTTCTGCTGGGGCAGTTCGATGTCCGGGGTAACTCGGCAGCTGGGGGCTGGGGCCATCTGAAGACCCCTCACCCACCTGCCTGACACGGTCCCATTTTCTGCCTGTTGGCAGTGGGAGGGCGAGTCTGATCTAATTCTTCTGTCATTTTGAAATTTTTTACACAAAACAATTTCGAGACACACATAGCATTTCTTTGATAAAAATGTTCCAATTGTTTCAGTAACCTGTGCATTTTGAAAATCTTTATTTTAGCACAATATTTGAATTTGTGGGCAGAATTGCAGATCACTTTAAAGGTGAGTTTTTTGTTTTACCCCCGTAAGTATCCTATTTCTAAAAGCATTTACCTACCAAACAATGTAATGTTCTATGTCAATTACAGCTCCATAAGAAAATTAACCATTGGAAACATTTTTTAGTTCAGTGATTTACTAATCCATTTCTTCTGAGATCTCTTATAGAACTTGGCGAATTTGCTGTGTATACATATTTATTTTGCACAACTAATACCAATTTTGCATATATATTTTTTTGTCTTGGATATGATTTCCTGGACAGAATATGTTTTTTTATTGTATTGCAATTCATACACACCCAAAAATATGCTACTTTTTTTTTTAAAGGAATTTGTAGGTGATTGTGAAGATACTTTGCAAGAAATAAAAAGTCTAATAGACAGGCTGTGTGAAAGAGACGAAAAAATTGAGAAAATCAGTATTTGGTTACAAGGGAATCTTCAAGAGTTGTGGTTCCTAGCCACTGTGGAAATTCCTGGTAAGGGCACCTCAAGAGCTTTGGCTAACCAAGAACTTCCTGCTCGTTTACATGGCTGGTGGTATCAAGAAAGCCCTCCCCCAGATAAGCGTGCCTACTAGTAACTTAGTTATGGCCAACAACCCACCCCTCATCATGCCCCAGACATTCCGGTGAGCACCGATTCTCATCTGCGGGGTCGAACACGGCAGCGCCGGACAGTCTCCCTTCTACCTAAGAGAGTTTTCTCTGTAACGGAACCTCAACTTATTTCTGATGTTTTAAACTCTTATTTTGAACACTTTCCAAAGCAGTCTTTCCAAACTCTTTCACACATTTCCTTGTCTTCATAAACAGGAGATACTGAGCATCAGTTTACCTTTTCTTCCCGGTCTAGGGATGCCTTCTGGGGCTCTCGAGATGTGAATACATCCTATAGCGCAGGATTGGTCCCCTCAGGATCAAGCAGCCGGGTCTCCCCAGAGCAGTGGTTCTCATCCTCCTGGCCCTTTAAATACAGTTCCTCATGTTGTGACCCAACCATAAAATTATTTTCGTTGCTACTTCATAACTGTAATGTTGCTACTGTTATGAATCCTAATGAAAATATCTGATATGCAGGATGGTCTTAGGCGACCCCTGTGAAAGGGTCATTCGACCGCCAAAGGGGTCGTGACCCACAGGTTGAGAACCGCTGCTCCAGAGGAATATCAGCTTCCTCTTTAATTCCTTCTCTAACTCAGAGCCCTGTCCAGGGCAGTGGAGCCGAGCCCTCACACAGGTGCGGCAGGGGGTCCCAGGCAGGGAGCGAAGGTTGGGGAGGAGGCAGGAGAATAGAGTGCAGGAGAGCGATGGAGTTGCGAAATGGAAAAAAAAAAGTCATTCAGCAAGTATATGGATTTAGTAGAGGTCATTAAGGTTTAATTTTAAAGAGCATCTTCATTAGATAAGTACTTATAAAGGTGGGGTGTAGAAAGTAAAATGAAATATAATAAAAGTTAAGATGAGAAAAAGTGATGGGATTAAACACCGTTTCAATATTTGCTAAAAACCAGTGTTCTGAGGGTATTGCTGACAGGAGAAGGAATGCTTAGGCAGCCAATGAAGCGTTTTGTGGGAAAGCCCCTTCGTATCAGCCAGGAAGCTGTCTTGGTCTTCCTGCTGGTGCCTGGTGATACTTCTTAGGTCTGAGTGCTTCAAGGGTCCCTGGTGGGCCTTGCCTCACTTTGTATTTTCTTTGCAAGGCCAGGCCATCCCCAGCAACTGTGGATCAGGCGGAATTTGAGGAGCTAAATCATCTCTAAGTGTCAATTGCATTATTTTCTCGTGAGCGTATCTTCCATTTTTGTCTGAAGCCTAATGGAATCCTTGTGTTGGGGCAGATTTAAATAGACTGCATTGAAAAGCCGAGGCATAGAACTTGGGACAGCAAGGCGGGCAGTCACCACCACTTGCATTTGGCAGAGATTCAGAGGCAGGGAGGGTAGTGGGCAAGGTTTACTGTGAAAGAGAGGAGCCTCCAGGTGCGCGGATGGAGGCTGTGGGCCTGGGGGAGCTGGCCGGCCGGCCTGACGCAGAGCCTCCTGGGGGAGCCTTCAGTGAGCGTATTTGCCTTCCTCTGGTTGGTCCTGCTGTTAAGTTCCATCCATGTTTCACTATCAACTCTAAACTGTATTCAACAAGTACTTATCAAATGTCTATTCTGTGCCAACTATTCTATCAGGCTGTGGGGTTACAATAGGGAATGAAAATAGGTCTAGTCCCTGCCCAGTGGAAATCAGTCAGGTCCAGAGGTTGGCAAACTTTAAAGGGCCAGACAATATTTCTGGCTTTGCCAGCCATGAAAGGTCTCCTACTCAACGACTCAACTCTGCCAGGGGAGCAGAATTGCCCCTCAGGTGTAGTTGGTCCGCCGCCGGTGTGGTGGGAAAATCGGGTATTGCACAGATGTGTGTAAAATGTCAGTGTCATAAGTGTCCTGAAGGGGGGGCGCCTAAGAACTTAAGAACCTAAGAGGGAGACTTGCCCTAGTTAGGGGTCGGGAGACGGCTCTGAAGAACTGGAAATGGAGCTGAGATCTGAAGGAAGATTGCTGCCCCCTTAGCTCCGCTGATTTTTGCTCCTGGAGCAGTGGCACCATGTGGGCTCACATTGCAGCTTTGCTTCTCACGTGCTATTTAGCCTCCCTGGTTGTAAACTGTAAGTGATAGCAGCAGTAAGAAAGCATTAGACCTTTATTAAGCACGTATCAGATCCCTGAAGCCTACCACCCTCCTGAGGTCAGATTTGGTCCCGGGAATTACTTGGCCACCTCTGAGCCACCTGTAATCTAGCTTTGAAATGTTCTTGTTGAATGGCTTCTCTCACAGATGCGACTTCTAGACAAGGCCTTGATCTCTTTCAGCTCAACAGCTCTCCCCTGCCCTCTTCTGGACACATCATGTCACTGCCGCCCAGCAGGTCCCGACCCTCTCCAGGAACACTGCACTAGCTTAATTAGCAGAGTGAGCACCGTTGAGTCTGGTTCCAGAACAAATGCTGCCCGAGTTGAATGACACCCAGTATGAATGTCAGAGTGCACATCCTGTGAGACCGAGACAAGAGACGATTAGAATCCCGGGGACTCCTCCTAATGAGTGGCTATGGGGGAAGATAAAGTGGGGTGTCGGAGTCTTTTTGGGTGTTGGGAATACACAGGGATGTCTTCCCAAAGGAGCAGCCCCGATCACCTGGCCAAGAACTGCAGCAGCATGGCTGAGTGGAGATTTGGGGTTCCAGCTGGCAAGAGTGGGGGGTTGGCTTGTCAGAAAGTACCAGGCTTCATCCTGAAATCTAAGATCGTTACTTTTTGCCTTAATATTCTTTCTTGTAAACAAGTAAATAAGTTAATGTGTAGTGTATACCTAAACCAAATAGCAACTGAATATGGATTTTTTTAAAGCATTAAAAATAATGTTTTAAAATTCCAAAAGTCCTATAATTTTGAATGCAGATAAATAATCTGTATACTAACCAAATATTTTAACTTGATGTCTGCTCTGTAGAGACTTTTCAGGTCAAGAGATATTTCAAAATAAAGATCAAATATCATATAATTATTTTTTGTTATTGTGATGGACAAGAACTTGATACAATTATCTGTATTTTGATCATTTAATGGAAAAGAACACAGTTATAATCTAGCAGAATCAAAATTTCAGTAAGAAATAATTTTAAAAATCATTTGCCCAAAAATTGTGAAAAGGTCTCTTGGAAAAATTAAAATCTGAACTAGGAAGAGAGTTTAGACAACGGTTCTCAAACATTAGAATCACCTGGAGAAGGTTTTACACTCTTTGGCCCATACCCCAGACCAATTCACCATGAGTCTCTGGGGCTGGGACCCAGGCATGTTTTTAGAAAGTCTCTCCAGCTGGTTCCAATGTGCGGTCAAGTCTTGCAAACCAGTGGTTTTAGGCAAATAGGTAACAAGGTAACAAATGACCCAAATCAGAAAATATTTTGACTTTAAATAACCTATCCAGCACTGGTTAGCACAGTTATTACTATAGCAGTGAGTTGTAATATACTACAAGGACCTACGTCAAGACAAAGTCGAGCTAGACAAGGGTGGTTTTGGTGTATTTCTTAATAACCATGTTTTAACAAGCTAATTAACATTAGCAGCCACAGGTGCTATGAATTATTCCTCTTGTTCTTCACAGTGCAAATTAAAAATGCAGATATGTATTAAGTATTCCTTTGCCTTTGAGTTGTAATCATAATTACCTGCATGATTTCTCCTTTTGCATACACACTTTTCTGCTAGAATAGAACATCAGAGAAGATGCCTTAAGATGGTTCCAAATGTGGTGGGAAAAGAACAGTCCTGGTAATCGGATACATGACCCCCCAGGCCTCCCCCTTTCCAACTGTGCAGTTGCCCAACGGAGGGATTCTTTGGGCAACTTAGAATTTTAATGGATACTAATAACCACCCAAACCTGTCTGAAATACATAGAGAATTTTTACAATTTTATTTTTATTCCTACAGAAAAGACGACCAAACAGACACGTACCAAAAAAGTCCGTTTTCCGTTGGCTGCACGTATTGTGAAAAAGATAGTAACGAAGAAAAAATAACAAAATAATTCCAAGGATACAACTGCTGTGAATTCAAAAGGCATAAACAAAACTATAGAGAAAGTGAGTGCACATTCTTTCACAATTTGCAACTGTCAATGAAAGTCTTAAAGTTTGAGATTTAACAAACTTGGGTTACCTCCACCAATAGCAGAATCAGTAAATAAAAATCTTACTTCCATGGTTACAACCATAAGTCTATTCAGAGTATAAAAATCGACAAGCAGCATACCTAACAACCACAGTAAAACTGTTCCTATGCTGTAGAGATTCTGCATTTTGTTAAATCTAAGAAGCCATCAATTGTGTGATGCAGCCTAATTCAGAGATGTCCCAATGTGGAGAAAAATGTGTCCCAGGATCAAAAAAATGTGGCATGTGTATGCATCCTTAAAAAATAATATATAAGCCCCAGCTGGCTGGCGCAGTTGGTTGGAGCATCATCCCATACACCAAAAGTTTGCAGATTCGATCGGTCAGGGCACGTACCTAGGTTGCCCGTTCAATCTCTGCACAACCAATTGATGTTTCTCTCTCTTCCCTTCTCTGTCTAAAATCAAATTTTTTAAATAAGATGTAAGAGGAAGGAAATATGTGAGTACATGTATTTATTCACGTGGGAAAAAGACATTAATCTCACTACCTAATATTTTTAATTTCCACAATTAGTGTGGCAAATACAAATGTCAGAACATTTGAGACTTTTTTCATTACTGTTTTTCTTTACAGAAACAGGAATAATATGAAGATATTTTCAACCAAACTACCTATAAACAGAAAACCTGTTATATATAAATTATGCTCTATTTTTGATGAAAATACTATATTGGTGAAAATAAACAGATAACAAAAAACAACATACTTTACATTTCCATGCTTGCTACCAGACCCCACAGGTATGTGTCTTTATAATTCATTACACTTGAAAGCCAGGTTGAAACACATCAGGCAAGTACAATCGTGCCAAAGCTAAGAATTCCATATTATACTTATTAAAGTA